TAAAGGCACTGCAGTTTTGGCACTGCAAAGGTCCAGTGCCTCAATTTGGAGGAACAGAGACTCTATAGAGGCTGGCATGAGAGAATGTTTCTATATGCTTTGTAGAGTGCTAAGGAATACCTGTAGTGCCTGGCAAAGACTGTTATGTCCTCAGAGTGTGGAAAAAAACCACAAAAGTAGAAGTGGTAGTGTTCTGTATTAGGGAGCCAAAACAGAAGAGAAAAGAGGTGCCCCAAGATGGCAGCTGACCCATAGTGGAGTTTGGAGAATTTTGGGATTCATGGGACTCATGTGAGACACTCCCAAAATTACACGAGGAGGAAATACCAGGAATTATGTCTTTCATTAGCAGGTTGGATGGGTTTTATTTATGACTACTCTTGGCATCATCCTTACAGTAGGTTTTGGGTTATAGAACAATGATGACATAAAGGTAAACTGATAATATTCAACAGAAATGAAGAAAAAACTGGGAATACAAAATGTCATCTGTGGGGCCTCCCTGGTGGCACAAGGAGTTAAGTGCAGCACTATGAAGCAATCTGCAGCTACCACAGCACGAGTTTGATCCAGGGAGCAACCCATATGGAGCAGCAGACCTCTCCTGTCTTGCCCGCTGCTCCCCTCAGCAGTGTATTTCAGTCAAGCTGCCTGTTCTGTTCCCCACTCTGCTCTGGTGAATCCTCTCACCCCCTGCACCTCTGGTCTGTACCCCAGCTCTTGTATACATGAATAAATAAATCTTTTAATAAAAAAGAATGTCATCTGCATCTTAGCATGATTCTCCACTGGTTTACTTAAGCTGTCTTTAGGATTTAAACATCTGAAAGACAGAATTAAAATGATGCATTTTTCAATCAACTGATGATAGAATAAAATGAACCCATTTTAAATTTGTAGAATTTAAAAACTAATGCTGTGACAATAAAGTAAAAAAAAAATGAAAACTAATGTAAATATTGTGGAAATTTTTCTATTTTCCTGTTTTATTCCGAGGATGTTCTTAACATAATATCCTGATTAACAAGTCCTGAATATCCAGATTTTCCTTTGTAATGCCTTTGCTCTGAGACAAAGTTTAATGAATTCTGATGTTTAAAAAATATTAAAATAGTCTAAAGATGAATAGGATGTCAATAATGAAGACAAATGATCCATTATTGAAAAATATCAACACGACATGTTTTTACAGATGCCATACCAGCTTTATAGCCCTACAGGAATAATCCCTGATGAAATAAATTAATTGATGTGCATTTTTATTTAAAGCCTAATTAGTTTTAATATGTGTAGGAAAGCTCATGTTGAAGAAATATACATTTGATTATGTCACTTCTTGCTTAAGAACCCTGATGACTTTTTACCACCACCTGTTGCAAGTTGGTTTCCTTAGTAAGCCTTCTTGGAAACTATGGTACTGTGCAGGAGTACCATATTAGGGAATGTTTTTTAGGGAAGAAAAAAATAGCAGAATTAAGCAGAGAGTGAAGTGAATTCAAGGTCTCTATGGGGCCTGAGCTGAAGTGTCCCAAGTTTGGAAAAACCCTTCTGAGTTGTCCTGGTTGGAGTCAGGAATCAAGCCTTATCCATCTATATAAGCCAATTAATCATTCAATGTGGGTCACTGTGGGAAGGAGGTTTGACCTTGGATGAGGTGACCTTCCCCCAGAGGGGACCAACAATGGAAGGCTGAGGGCTTTCTGCTGGCAGCACTCCAAAGCTGAGTGAGCTGTCATTAATATTTGAAGGGAGATCTGGGCTGCACATAATAGAACACCCAAAAGAATGAAATCATAACTCATTAATATAACTCACAATTCCAGGTCAGATCCAACCTATCTTCCAGATTTATTCTCTACTTTTACCCTACCTATATTGTGGGTGCCAATCAATGTGCCTATTCCTGCATGCCTTCATACTGTTGAAAATAGTAATTCAAGGACTCTCTCTTCCCACCCTTTAAGACACCATGTACTGTGTCCCCAGCCAGAGTTAAAGTTTCTTAATGATAGCTGTTTTTCAATAACTTTATAAAACAAATACTTAAATTAGAACCAAGTGTGCAAAGGCCCTATAAACATTGAGTGATTAAATGAATAATATGTGAACAATAATTTATAAAACCAAAGAAGGGATCGATGACCTATTTTCCTTTTCAAGAAATCAATTAGCTCTTTAAACATGCCCAAATTGGTAAGGGCAGAAATCAAATCTAACAGACCAACATCTTCCCCAGTCTGGGATGTGACAGAAACTACTTGGATTAGTGAAAAACAAAAATAATTGAGATACATTTCCTATCTTAAAGACCCCTATGATCTACCCAAAGAGCTAGAAAGCAAAATAGATTAAATGACACAACAAAGTACAGCATTTAATATAAAAATACATAAAAAATCATGGACAACCCCCCTATTATAACTGGGATGTATTACAGAAAGTTATTTTGAGATTTTTATTGCAAAGTCAGGGGTCATCTTCCCACAGGACAGTATTTGACATATTAACCAATTTCTCTGTAGAGCCTCCATAATGCTATTTACTAAGTATAAAATAAACCTTTACACTGACCGTGATATCTAGTAACATTTATTATAGCACCTATATTTGTATGTCAAATGTAACTGATTAACATGTTCATATATTCAACAATCCAGGCTATGCCTGGCACTAAAGTTAAGTTATAAACAACTCTGATGAGCTCCCTCTCCTCATGGAGGACCGTATTTTGGACAAAGCAGACACTGAGCGATCATAATAAAGGGACGTGAGTGTTATGAAGGGGTTTTGCCATGTTCTGTGGTAACACTCAACAAGGGAGCTTTCTTGTCCTGGGTCTTCTTATACAAGGCTGGGTGAAGCCGAGGCTTACCGGGGAAGAGATGCAAACTGGAAGGCAGAAGTGGGAAAAGTGGGTTCCAAGCAGAGGGGAGATTGTGCAGAAAGGTCAAGATAGAAAGGAAACAAGCATAATATAGAGCCCATTTGAGTTGCAAAAAAGAATTGCTGCGTGGTTGGAATGCTGAGAAAGTGAAAGAAAGGCACTCGTTGAATATGCAAAGGTCACATCATGGCAAGTTCTGTAATGAGACTGGTCTTTTTCTTAAATGCCACGGAGAGATGAAGGTGGGCAGTAATAGTTTCTTATTTGCATTTTTGAAAGATTATTCGGGAAGCAGGGGGAGATGAGGGGTATAAGGTAAAGGTGACAGCCAGGCGACCAGGTAGCTAATACTGCCCTAAAGTGCACAGCAGCCTGAGGGTATTGCCTACGGTACTGGCAATGGAGAGGTATAGAAATGTATGGAAGCAAGCCCTTAGAATGAATGAGGGTCGCAGATCAATGAACTACGGAGAATGAAGGAGAAAGAACTGGAGATGCACAGGCCCCTCTGGTCCCACTAAGATATGCCTGCAGTGTCTCTGTCTCCTTACCTGGACTAGGCAACATGAAACTGGCTTGATGCTGTTCCTGTTCAAGCCCAGGCCACGCTGCAGGAAAGGAGCTCCTGAGCAGACAGCCACAGCAGAGGCAGAGGTGAGGCGGATAGAAGGGAGTCACCCTTTGCAAAGCAGGGAAAAGGAAAAAAGTGCTCTGGGGGTGCCTGCCTAGTAGGGATAGTCCCTAGCCAGGTCAGCCAGGAAGAAAAAACACCTGGAACTGATCTGATTTTCACAGGTGAACCTCATGTGGGTCTGACTTTCACAGTCAGGACACTTGATTATCCCGTTGGATATAAACAATCTCTAACCCCAGAAGAGGTCACCCTGACACAATGACAAAATTAATGAAACAAGTAAGTCACTTCATAATGTTGTCTAAGTATGGACATTAAGGCCTGGGTATTGTCCTAGCCATAAAATACCCAAACATAGAAAGGTCCTCTTCTTCTAGTCTATAGCAAATGTCTTATTAGACCATCTCCCAAATCACCCAATCCAAGTCCAAGTCCCATAAAAGATTCTTTGTAAATTGCTCTCACTGAAAGACAGCGCGGTTTGCTGCACCGTGTGTTATTACTCACACTGCAGTGAGTAATAAGCCTGACTCGTTCAGCTGCAAGTGTTTCTGGTGGCCTTTGGCTGAGGGCATTGACATGGGTTAGGAATTTAAAAATTTGCAACTGCTGCCTAAACGTGATGCACTGACGCTTTAGCACTAGAGAATGGCACACTGCGGGCACAGAATGATCATTTGTTAGACAAACTAGCAAGCATTTACAGGAATGAAGAAAAGGCCACTGCAATAATCCACCTGCTTGCAATCCTTTTTGACCAGTCTCCTGGTCTCAAACTTTTATTTGATATCACACTAAAAAAGAAAACAGAGTAAAAAAAGATAAACAAAAACAAAAGCACAACCCCCAGATGATTTATGAGTAATGTTACTCAGTCACGACAGTCTTTAATTTTTTTTTTTTTTATTTTGCTCAGGGAACTTTTAGCTTTACTCATCTTTAATTACCTTAATTTCATGCTTAACTCAGGCACAGAAGAGATCTGTTTGTAATTTCAGATGAGAGAAAATGAAATTCCCCTCAGCAAAGTTGAATTTTAAAATTGAAGAGGAAGAACAATGTGCAGCTCACAAAAAAAATCAACCTTACATTTCAAAGTAATACAGTATTAAAGAGCTCAAATTTTGTTTTGAAAACAAAGTAAAATCAAGCCAAATGAAGGAGAGAGAGAAGAAAGGAAGGAGGGGGGTAAGACGGATGGACAGAATCTCTTTGCTGGTCTCTCTTTTTTATTGTTATAGGAACATCTGATATGAGATTTACCCTCTTAACAAAGTTTTAAGTGTATCATACAGTACTGTTAACCACTATCAGCATAAGGTTGTATAGCATATCTCCAGAACATAATCATCTTGCATAACTGGAGTTTTGTACCTATTGAACTACAGTACTCCTCCCATCCCCCAACCTGTGGCATCTACCACTCTGCTCTCTGCTTCTGTGTATTTGATTAATTCAGTATTTCCTGTAAGTGTCCTAGGACTGGCCTATTTCACTTAGCATAGTGCCCTCCAGGTTCATGCAAGCTGTAGCAAATAGCAATATTTCCTTCTTTAATAAGGCTTAGTAATATTCCACGGGATGTAGACAACACATTTGCTCACTCATTTCTCCATCAACAGTTGCTTCCATATCTTGGCCATTGTGAATAATGCTGCAATGAACATGGGAGTGCAGATATCTCTTTGAGATCTTGATTTCAATTCTGAAAACATACACAGAAGAAGGGTTGCTGGATCTTTTTTTTTTGTGTGTGTGTATAACTATACATATGATTTTATTTTTAACAATGAAGAAAGAGAACGTAGGGGACAAAATCTTTTCTCCTCCCCCCCTTCTATGTTTCTTGACTGGTAATGTTGATGTAAAATAGAATAAAAGGAGAAAAAAAATTGACTTCATATATATGGAAGCCCCATAGATATGACACCTAGAGAAATGACCAGAATATTTTCCTTGTAGTTACTTTTAGGCAAAGAAGAACTGAGAATGAAATAATGATGCTGGATCATTTTTTGAGGACTTTCCATTCTGTTTTCCATTTTGAATATAGCACTAATTTTTATTCCCACCAACACTGAACAAGAGTTCCACTTTCCCTCACATCTTTGCTGAATATTTATCTTTCTCTTTTTAATGGTAGCTATGTTAACAGATATGGGGTAACACCTAATTGTGGTCTGGATTTTCATTTCCCTATAATTAGTGATATTGGGCATCTCTTCATATACCTGTAGGTCATTGTTGGAGAAACATCTATTCGAAAACTTTGCCAATTTTAAAATCAGGTTATTTGGGTGTTTTTGCTATTGAGTTGAAAGGATTCTTTATGTATTTTAGATATTAACCAAATGAGCTATATGATTTACAGATATTTTCTCCCATTCCATAGGTTGCTTTTTCATTTTGTTAATTTTTTTTATGCCACACAGAAGCTTTTCATTGTCCCTGGAAGGTGTGGTAATCAGAGGTTATTAATATTTTCATTTATTTTCTTGTATTTTTCAAATGTTCAAAAGACCATGATTTATTTTTACAATTGATAAAGAAAATGAAAGCAATTCAAACCATTTAACACAAGTCAATTCATGAAGCTAAGTGAAAAAGGAACTGAAAAATCGTTTGAACCTTGATAAAGATTATTTGAGGGCCTCCCCGGTGGCACAGTGGTTGAGCACTGGGTTGCGAAGCTGCCTGTGGTCTCTGCGGCGCTGGTTCGATCCCCGGCTGCTACCTGGCCACCAGAGGAGGGTCCCACATGGCGCGCAGACCTCTCCTGCCGCCCGCTGCTCCCCTCAGCAGTGTACTTCGGTCCTTCTGCCTACTCTGCTCCCCGCTCTGGCTCTGGTGAATTCTCTCACCCTCCCATGCTTCTGACTGTACCCAGTGCATGTATAAACAAAACAAACTAGCAAATAAAATAAATAAATAAATAAAACATGCCTCTATAAAAAAAAAAGCATAAAAAAATGTTTAAAAAAAAAAAAAGATTATTTGAGGGGGAAACTTGGACTTACATATATGGCTATTTTTATAATTCATGTTCACGAAATTCTTTCCCTTTACCATAGTTTTTTTGATGCTGATTAAATTAATGATGAAGGACTGAGAAACTAGCTGCTGAAACTTTTAAATTTCACTTTGTCAACCTAATTTTCTGAGTCTGAGAAAGGAAGTGATTAGAAATTGGAAACACACAAAAGGTTATCAACTTTTGTGCTTTATAATGACAACATCTAGCAGTTCCTATGAAAGGCAATACTAAGGCCATATTTTGTACTTTTAATGTGCTTCCTATATTTATTGGAAAAGGTTAGAGTAAACATATGCATCTCCTTAACGAGAATGCTACTGCTGATATTCCTATTTCTTATGAAAAATCCCAAATTTTATCAAGAACACAGAAAACAAAGCTAAAGGCAGAGGGTTTTTTTGTTTTTGTTTTTGTTTTTTGTTTTGCGAACTGTCGCTAAGTTTCCTTTTCATTACTGAAATATGGATCAGATTAAGACTGTGGTATTGATGAATAACATAATGAATAAAAGAATGACTAGCCTCCCTGGAGGAGAAGATATCAGTGTAGGGCTACAGGCTCCGTAATTCTGAACTGGAGAAAATGTTGGGCACATTGATACTCCTTTTGGAAGATTTTACACCAAAATTGGGACATCCTAATTGGGCCATGTCTGCACTCTATTCTTGCACTTTGCTATACACCTTGTTAGTGATTTCCAACCATCTTCTTCAGCTACACAAAAACTCAACCTTAAATTCTCAGAACTCCTCTCTATTTTCTTTATATGTTTATGTGGCATGGGATAATTTAGGAAATCCCATGAGTCTGTATATCAGACAAAAATGGGGTTTTAAGCTAAAAAGTCTGGAAAATGCTGTCCTGGGGGATCAATTCAGGAGATAATATGTTTCTATATTAATTGGAAAAATAAGAAGACTAATTCATTGCAGGGCAAAGTGATGTTGCTGTCACACTACAGAAAATCTTAAGGGTGAAGGGGATTATCAAGGCACAGATGCAATGAGTCATCTACATTCAAATGAAGGCTTCTAATTTGTGTTTAATACATTTTTAAGGGATGACAAGAGGTTTGGGGATTTTTCTTTTTCGGTAGCGTCTGCCCTTTCGATGTTCTCTGGAACCATCTGCCATTAAGAGTGATTAATTCTACTCGATATGGCTATCACTATCATATCATAATTATAAAACAATATACATATCAAAGTAAAAAATTTTAATTATAGGAATTAATAAACAATCAAATACCACCATGGAAATAAACGTGAAGGTATTGACAAATCTCTTACCCAATTCAATCAAAATATAGTTCTTTATTTCACTAGACCAAGAAAGGTGATACCATTGTTGGGAGTATTCTTGCAGGACCCAAATAAAGACTGGGTTGTGAAAACAGTAAGCCTTCCTCTCCAGGAGATCCGCACATTGATTAAAATACTTAGAGCCAGTAGAGCAAAGTGGTTTGAGTTTTGCATGCCACATGGAGCTGCCTCTGGAACTGAATTTTTTTCATGGTCTGAGTCATGGGCCTCATTCATTGTTTTCCAACTGTAAAACCAATTTACTAAACAGTCCATTTCCCCCCACCAATCTGTCAAGGCAAATAGTTCTACAGACAGATCGGTAAGTTTCTGGGCTCTCTTTCTTGCTTAGCATGTGTATTCATGTGCCAATATGGCACTAAATTATTAGGTCTTTATAAATAGAGTGTCTCACAGCACAAGTATCCATAGATACTTAGAGGCAGTTTTGCCTCCATATTTTCAACTCCACATTTAGATATCATGTTTATTGTTATTTTAAGCAGTCAGTGTTATTTCTTTTACCCTCAACTTTTTTTTTTCAACTTGGTAATTTTTTATTTGGTTTCAGCTCTAATCAATGTAATTGGTTTACTCGGTGCTGAATTTCAGCCCTCATTTTATGTACCGTAAGCACATTGCTCTCTGATGTATTATAATTTCTATCTCATCCTTTGCAATAATTTATGGAAAGAAAACCACTGTTTACTTTTTACAACAGACTTCCCTCAAATTCACTAATGAACTGTCCCAAGACAAATTGTGCAAACCTCGCTCCGAAGTTACCTGCATGGTGGAGTGTAAGATGTTGCATTGGCTTCCATGTGGGCAAGTTACTCATATCCAGAAAGTCTTGGCTATTCCTAAAATGTCCTTCTACACTCAACTTTACCAGTATTTGCTCACCATTCTTTCTTAAATTTCATACTTTGCTTTAAGGATGCTTTCCCCTCTCCCTTTGGCATAATTTTATAAATTCTTTCAGTAAATATTTATTATCAGTAAACTTAGTGTTTTCATTTGTTGTTGTTACTAATGTTTGAAAGCATCTTTATTTTGTCTTCATTTGGTCCAAAATTATGATCATTTTTTTTCTGGGTAATCATTCTAAGACGACAGTGACTTTTTTCCCTCAAGAATTTAAAGACTTTTAAAAACTTTGCTCCAGTTTCTATCAATATGAATGTTAGTTTTAGTTGTAATTCTAGTAGGTAAATGCAGACCTTTTAAAATTCTTATTTATCTCAGCCTTTTTGGTCATATAATTACTATGAACTCCAACTCAGGACATGTATGTAGGAATGTCTACGGTTATATGGTTAGGCTATTGTTCATGGTGAGATTTTTATTTTTCTGTCTATCCATCCATCCATCGATCCATCCATCTATCCATTCATTCATCATCAAACTATCTAGCTAATTGCTTTCCCTGGAGCCAAAATTGAGGTAAATAAGTTTCCCAACTGATATCCATTGTATGTGCCACTTTTTAATAGTTTTGTCTTTAATATAGTCTCTGCATTTGATTCCTCTACCCTGCATGCACATAAGTCTTCAAATTCTAGCTTCTAAATCACAAGTGATTTTCATTCATCCCCTAGTAATCACTTGCTTTAACACTTTATCTTTATCTCTCTGGATTCATGTTTCCTTATAGTTCAGGTCTGTGGTGATTTCCACAACTTTCCCAATCCCCAGCCATGCTTTTGAGATGATAATGTTACAGTTTATCAAGATATTTTATACAGAGACTGTATTGTCAGTTCAAATGTATAACTATTTAGTTAAATCAAATGTGTTGTAGAGTTCAGAAAACTCAAAAGCTTTTAAACTCTTCCTTAACATGCTTATCTACTCCTTTAAACCCTTAATATCTTTCAACTCTTCTCCATTAAGGGATGAATAAACTTCTCATCAGTTATAGGACCATAGAAATCTTTCTTCTGCCAAAATCTCAATTCAATATCCCACCTAGTCTCCTTAGTCTTTATAACTGCTTAGATTATTTACTTTGTTCAATTACCTCTGAATACTTCTGTTTCTTTCCTTTGATTTTCCTTTCCTGTATCTTCTATTGACTTTGAGTGTAATTGTAGCACTCATCAAAGGAAGATCAAGGTATTGTCTTAATACAGCCTTGGATCACAGTAAGAGAAACATATAAAAAATGTAAACATAATATGTGCCTTTCCAAAGTCTACATGGGGGAAGATGAAGGACAAATATCTGGACTTCTGATAGGAAATACGCCAATGTTGCTTTTATTTCTATATCTTTTAGAGAATTCTCCTGCCATCCTGCCCTCAGGTCCCTAATTCTGCCACTGCTTGGGATTAGCCTAGTGATGGCAAAAAAAGGAATAGCACAGGG